CACAGGGTTTTCCCTGGAGCCTGCTCTGCCCAGCTGTGAGATGGGTCACCCAGGGGCTCTGACAGCTCCATGATGGGGAAAACACCTTCAGCCCCCCCAGGCCTCCTCTGTGCCTCTGTCCTGCAGGGAATGGCTGCGTGGCAAGGCTGAGCTGGCTGCAGCCAGGCCAGGGGTGCTTACATAAGATATTTGCTGTGTCCCCAGGAGTGCCCTGGGAGGAAGCCAGCGTGCTGATTAGGTGACGTCTGCCCGCGCCGGGTGGATTTGCCCTGGCAGCATCTGCTGGTGGTCCCGCAGGCTCTGCCCTCAGCTCCTTTATGTAAGAAGCCACTTGGGCTCTCTGGCTGCAGCCAAACCTCTGGGTTGTGTGAGGAGCCTGTCTGACCCCCGTGGTGTCCAGCCTGGGCTCTGCTGTCAGCAGCTCATCACTGCTGCTGCTTTTTCCTCCTCCCTTCCTGAAATAATCCACCCTGTGGATGAGGGGAAGGGCAGCTGAGCATTGGTTGTGGAGTGAGGAGGGCTGGAAGGGCTCCATGGTTTCTCCTGGGTGCTGTGAGCCCCCAGGGGAGCTGCTCTTTGCTGTTCTTTTGGAGCATCCTGTGGTAAAAAGCCAAAGCCAAGCTCATCACAACTGGCCCGGGCCATGGAGCTGGCACTGGGATTGTGCACAAAGTCTAGGAATTCCCATCTGCTGCCCCAAATCCTCCCCCCAAACACTGCAGGCCATGACAGCAGCAGATAAGCCTCTTTCCTCCTGCTTTATCATGTTTTTTCCAGTCAGGATCCCAAAGTGATGCAGTCTCTGGCCTGCTCTTGGAGTGGTGGCACGCTGAGGGTTCACAGTTTCCAAACTGGCTCTGGTTTTGCTCTTCAGCTGTGGATAAGGAGCAGGCTCCCACCTCTGGCCACGATGAAATGCACTGGCCAAGGTCTCCTCAAGTGTTTGTCCATGGGCTAGACCTCTCTGTGTGCAGCAGGGTGGGGTCAGCACCTTTCAACTCCTAAAAAGTGTAACATGACCAGCTGGGAAATCCTCTGGGACTGTGCAGGCAGGGGTGTATTTTATGGAGGATTGGTTGTTTGGACCAGCACTGCTCATGGTGAGCAAGGCTGAGCCACCCTGAGCTGAGCTGTGTGCACACAGAGAGGAGAAGCAGAGGAAGAGTCAGAGGAGGATGCTGGGGAGTGACATTCCCCCGGGACCCTGCTGAAACAAGCTCTAATGGGTGAAATTAAGCTGAGTAAAATGGGAAAATTCCCTAAGATATGTTAGAGCCTCCCAAGGGACACGGAGCCATCCCAGCAGCACGGTCCCCAGGGCAAACACAGGGGAGCAAACTGGCAGTGGGGTCTGTGCTGTGGGGCAGGGCTTGGCTTTGCAGGGAGCCTGAGCCCGAGCTGGGATGCGACGGGGATGCTGCCAGTGTCCGTGTTGTGGCTGGGGCTGGGATCCAGCTGGAAGCTGCATGGAGCAGTCCTTCATTAGCAAAATCTGCAGAGTTTCACTGGCTACAAGTGGCATTTCATTTTGTCAACTGGCAGAAATACAAATGTCTTTTTTTTTTTTCTCCCCCTGTGCTAGCCATTCTGGGGAGAAATGGCTCACCTGCTCCATAGGTTTTCATGGAGCAGATTATTGCTCCTGGCTGATGGTTCCTCAGGCCAAATCTTGCTTTTGCTGTTCTTTCCTGGGTGAATGGATACAAAGGTGCTGAGCCAAGAGAGCAAGACCTGCTGGGCATGGTGCAACCAACCTATGGAGAGCTGCTCCACATCCCTGCATGGCAATGGCCAATTCTTGCCCCCTCACTCGTAGTGCCAAAAATGCACCACAATCAACAGACCTCAGCTGCTGTGCTCCTCCTGCCACCAGCTGGGCTCCTTCCCTGCCCTCCCTCCCTCCTGGTCCTGCTGAAGCACAGCCAGAAACCAGAGGTGCACAGGGATGTGCATTCCTCCATTTCCAGATAAAGCCATGGCAGTGCCACAGCTCACTGCTCCTCATGCCCTGGGCTTGTGGTTGTGCTCTGTCTGTGCCAGCACAGCCCTGGAGATGCTCTGGACATGGAATTGAAGGTCTGAGCATCCCCCTCTCCATCATCCAACTGCTCCTGGACATCCTTGCCTGCTCTCCCAGGCTGAGCTCCCCTGGTAACACAAACACCTTTTATTCTGCCCTGGGCCATCACCCCTGCTTTCTCCCCCGCCACAACCTCTGTGAGCGCTCTGAGAGTGGTGCCCACAAACCTGTGTCACCTTCCTCTGTGTCTGCCGCATCCCCTGGCCCGCTGTCCTCCCAAATCCCACCAGGGCTTGGCCCTCTGCTTCCCTTTGCTGGCCAACAGCGTGGCCTGGCAGGGCGGGCATCCCGTGCCGAGGAGCAGATGGCTCAGGGCTGGGAGCTCGGGGGGCTGGCTGGGCAGGGGAGAGGGGAGCCAGCTCAGATGGGGCTGGAGTGTCAGGGCGAGGCGTGGCCGTGGCAAAGCTCACGGCTATTTTTAACCTGGGTGGATGAGGGTTTATTTCCTGAGCTGGCACGTGTGGCTCTCACTGCCCACTGGATGGGGGGACAGGTTTTGGGTCGTCAGATGGCAACCCTGAGGCTGAAAATGACCTTTTCTAGCAGCAGAACTGGGAAGGGAGTGGGGTGCTGGGAGAGAGGAGCTGGTATTCCATAGGGGTGTCCTGCAGTGGTGTCGTGGTCTGGTATGGATTGGGTTCTGCAGGTTTTGCTGGGCTCTGGGGTGGGTGCTGCATCCATCAGCCATGAGGCTTTCTCAGCTTATACTTCCAAGTCCCACTTATCACACTGGAGCCTTTGATGAGGCTCCAAGCCTATTTCCCCCAGCACTCCACCTTCCTCCTGCTGCAAAACCCATTGGAGCAAAGAGGCGAGATGCCCAGGGGAGCAAACCCCTGCCCTGCAGGATTTGTGAACAACCCTGCACCTTCTGGGGCTCAGCAAACCCAATTTGCTTGCAGTCCAGCTGCTAGGCTTTCAGAGGGGCTGGAGGACGGTGGGCTGTGTCCCCAGGGTGTGCAGGACGGGCTGGTGGCAGCAGATCCGAGTGGCCCGGTGCCACCAGGAGGATGGGTGACTTAGCACGTTTTCCCCATCCCCGCTTCCCCCGCCTCCCCCTCGGCCTCTTCCTCTGGGAGCCCTGACATTAATGCAGCGGGAGTGGGGGATTTATGGACGGCAGCCCTCCAATCGGGCCATCCGTCTTGATTAAATTAGCCCTAATGGCTCAGAGCTGACTCGCTCACGGCCCTGCGCAGCCGCGCTGCGCGCGCCCGACCCCGCCGGCTGCACCCCTCCTTTCAGCCCCTCGTCCCCATTCCCCCCCTTGGACAATTCCTAAAAGAGTGGCTGGTTTGGGGCAGGGGGAGGTTGGATCCTGGCTGGAGCTGTTCCCTGGCTGGGAGCCCACAGGACGTGGGGGTCCCCAGGGCTGTGATTCTGCGCTGACAGAAGGGGACAACGAGCTTCTCCCCAGCCCTGGTGGGAAAACATGGGGAACTTCTTCCCAAAAGCAGAGGGCATCTGGGGTTTACTGGGATGGAAGTCCCAGGCTATTCATTTGCATTTCCTATAGCAAACTTGGGAGAGAAGGACAAGCCAGCAGCATGGGCAGGCGATGGGAGCTCCAGCCTGGCCAGCTCCACCCAGCCCTCCCAGCCAGCCCCAGTCTTGGACTGGGCACCCTGAAGCTGCTCCCCTCACCCCAGTGGGTGCCCCTGGCCCATGGCCAGTCTCCCAGCCCAGCTCTGCAGCCAATCTTTCAGTCTATTTTTGAAGAGAGTGTCAGGAACTTTGGTCTGGCACCTCTGGCTGGGCATTGGGACAGGGAGGTATTTGGGAACATTTCCATGGGCATGATGGGGTGACAGGAGAGGAGGAGCAAGCTGGCTGCCTGACAGACGAAAGGAGCAGTGTTTTGGGGTCAGGATATCCCTGGGTGGTCTTGCACAAGACCACCATGCCCAGTGTGTGAGCTGGTCTTCCCTCTGACCTGCCAATCCCAAATCCCTGCTGTTGAGTATCCATCACGGCAGGGGCAAGGCCCTGCAGAGCTTTTCATCCTGGGATTTTGGTGTTGTTTAAAATTCAGTGTTTCTGAAATGAGGTGAGAAGGGACAAGCCAAGGTGGAGAGGGGTGTGGAGGCAGCACTGGGAGCATTGCCCTGAGGTGCTCTGGGGTGTTTGGGAGCAGTGAGGAAACAATGCTTCATCTCAGAAGAGGATGGGAGCTGGGCGCCAGGAGAGTCACTGCTCCAGGATGCTGTCGGAGGGGAGAAGGAGGAATTGCTGGTCCCAAACTTGTGGTGGGAGCCATGGAAAAGTGAGGGAGAGGCTGCCAAAGGGCAGGGGCGGAGGCAGCCTCTTCATGCACCCTGTTCTGTGGGGCTTCATGTTTTCTCTGTGACCTGCCAGCTCGTGACAGCCACGCTGAGCAGCGCCGAGCATCGCTGGCGAGGCTGGAGGTCTCCTGGCTGTGATTATTATTTTTTTTTTTTTTTAACAAAGCCTGTGAATCCCCAAAAAAGGAGCAGGCAGCAGCCCTGGGATCTCGCGGGTGACCGAGTGTGGAGGAAGTGTAGCAAAAATTACAGACGGTGGCTGGTTTGCATCTCCCTCTGGCTGGGAGCCAGCCGAGGTTGTGAGCCCACTGCAGCATCCCTGTGCCTCCCGCTCCCCTCCGCGGGGGAACGACGCTGCTGGAGCAAGGTTTCACTTTGACCCTCTCCAAAAAGGCCTCGCTATTATAAGGGTAGTGTGGCCAGGAGACACCCAAAGCCTCCCAAATGGCTTAAAATAATGCTCACCTCCTGAGAAACAAACTTGGACTCCAGTCAACCTTTCAAAAATAATAATAATAATAATAATAATAATAATAATAATAATAATAATAATAATAATAATCCCTGCCTGCAATAAAAAGAAGTGGCTCCAATTCTCAGCCCTCCCTCTGCCCCCATCTCCCCTCCACACACGCAGCCCCCTGCCCCTTAAACCAGCCCCCAGTGAAGCCTTCAGGGACGCTGTCCCACCATTGATTTTTCATGGAAGGTGCCCGGGAAGGTCGGTGATGGGCTGTGGGGCCACTGCCCCCCAGAGCAGCTGCTGGAGCAGGGAGCTGAGGTGGATCCATCGGGAAAGGGCTGTTGCTTCCCGGTTCTGTGCCTGCCGGAGCCTGGCTGGAAAATCAAGCGGAAGCCATCAAGGTAGAGGAGAGGAAGCGAGGAAGAAGAAGAAGAAGCAGCAGAAGAAGAAGAAGGGCCGAAGGGCTGGGGCGAAGCAGCCATTAGGAAAGTGCTGATGCAGAGGTTCCCTCGTGTCTACGGGCAGAGTTGGAGGAGTTGCTGTTCGCGGACAAAGGCAGCAGGAGGGAGTGGAGCTTTGTAGAAGCCGGAGCCTGTCTCACTGGGTGTCTGTGTTTCATTCCCTGTCAAAAGCCTGGGAGCTGGGGGGGAAAAAGCAGGGAAGCGGCGAGCTGCAGCGCTCGCTCAGGATCAGATAGCAAGGAAACCAATAGCGGCGAGAAAAAAAAAAAAAAAAAAAAAAAAGAGAAAACCAACCCACATCAACCAACCAACCCACCCACCCTCCACGCTGAGGCTGGAACAGGCAGGTCCCTGCCAACTCCACAGCACGCAGCAAGCAGGGAAGAAGGGAAGAAGTCCACCCTCCCCGGGCAGGAGCGGAGTTGAGCCCGAAGGATATTTGATGACACTTTGGCAACGATGGGTCCCCCAGCATCTTCCACAGCCCATTTGAGGGTGAAGGCTCCGAAAGCACAGAGGGAGTTTGAAGCTAAATTCACCTGAGTCTGGATCTTTTGGTCGCTGGGATTTATCTATTTTTCTTTTTTTCTCCACGGGGAAACCAAACCAAGAAAAAAAACCGTGTTTGCTTCCTTTTTTTTTTTAATCTCCCTCTTTTTTTTTTTTTCTTTTTTTTTTATAATTCTTTTTTTATTTTCTTTTGGAAGAAGATTTTTTTTTTCCCCCTGTGGTTGGAATGGAGGGGTTGGGTCTGTGCCTGAGAAGCAGCAGCCGAACGTCGGTCCTGGGAGAAACCCGAGTGGATGTGGGGTGCCCTGCCAGCTAACTGTCCAGGAGCTGCAGCCCCACGGCCGGAGGGGCTGGATGCAGTGAGAGGTAAGTGCCGGCTCCGGTGCCTGCCGACGACAGCTCCTCCACCTCCGTCTTAATCCCAAGTCAGAGGCAAAAACAGCAGTCTCATAGTGAGTCAATCACTTCCACCTATTGCAGCCCTAATGGAGAAATAAAACGGGGAAGTTTCGCAGCGGCGGCTCCACGGGGAAAGTTCCCCCTCACCCCTGTGCCCCAAATGCCAGGTTTGGGGAGGGGGGGATGTTTTGCCAAGCGGCGTCACCGTGCCCGTGCCATGGGCCCCCTCCCTGCCCAGCCAGCACTGAGGGTATTGCTGCTGATTTTTGGGTTCCTCTCCGCGCTCCTGCTCCCCTCTGCTCGCTTCCCCCGGCCAGCTCGCTTCCTCACCCAAAACTTTTGCACAGCGGTTGTTTTGGGCGATGCCCACGCGGGGTTATGCCCCTGGGTGCCCACGCAGGGATATTCACATGTCGGTGTGACACACACACACACACAGCTCCTGAGCCTCTCATCCCCAAATCCCCGGGTGCTGCCGGTGGGGACAGGCTTGGGGTGAGCCCGGGAGCTGCGAGGCTGGGGGGGCTTGGGAGGCAAACTGCAAAGCACAGGGAAAAATCCGAGCGAGCCGAGCACGGCAGCAGCAGCAGCAGCAGCAGCAGCAGCAGCAGCAGCAGCAGCAGCAGCAGCAGCATAATTGCATCACTGTAATAGTATCGGCGCTGAGCACGAGCCAGGCGAGTAAAATTGTCCAGAAAATGAGCTGTACTAAAGTGCCTCCAGTTAGCAGCACCTGCACGCCTTCACTGGGTGCTCGAGGCCGTTCGTATTTTTAGAAGTCTCTCTTAATTATAGAGCAAAGAGTGTGAGAGGGAAAATGGTGTGTATTTAGCAGCATTCCCGGACAGTTTTGCAGTGAATATGAGCACAAAATCACCAAACAGGGTTTATTTTCTTCCCCCCCATTGCACTTGTGATTTTGAACCACCTGTTTTGCTGTGGTGTCAGCAAACGAGGGCTGGGTTCTTTTCTTTCCTGTTCTTAGAAAGCGTGGCGTGACTTTTCCCGTGGAAAAGATGGGAAGCGGTCCTGCTGCCTTCCCTCTGCACCCCAAATCAACCCCAATTTCTGAGAGCTTCCCATTCCCATCCCAGGGGTGACACTGCTGGGGACAGGGTGCTCACATGTCGGCGCCAGGTCTTCTGCAAGCAGCAAAGAGCTGGGGATGTTTTACAGGTCACTGTGAAAAAATAATCCACAACAAACCCTGCAACAACTCGTTTTGCTTCTACAAACCTTCTTCCCCTCATCCCCTTCTCCACAAAACTTTCCAGGGCCTTTTGTTTGGAACAGCAGGTGAAATTCCCTTTGTGTGAGCACAAAGCAATGAAGCCACCAGAAAATCATGAAAACAAGACTAAAAAAAAAAAAAAATTAAAAAAAAAAAAAAAAAGAAAACCCTTGCCTGCTCTTTTCAGGCCTGGAATAACAGCGAGCGTTCCCATCCATGCCAGATAAGCTTAATAAAGCTCTGGCTTTGCTGGGGAAGGCACCGTAAAGGCCACTTTACTTCTTGCCTCTGATCCAAAACACACTTTGAAATCCTGCGTTGCCTCTGCTGCTCTTTACCCAAAAGAGTTGCTTTGCCTGTGAAGTCAAAGCAGTTTTTTTCCTTAGCGCTGGAGTGACCCGGGGGGTTATGGCAATTCCCTTGGCAAGCTGGGCTGGGATTTTGGTGTTGCCCTGACTCTGGTGTTTTTGGTGGTGCTCACAGCGGGTTTCCCCTGTCCCTGCTGGCTGGGGTGGCTTCGCCAGCAGCGCAGCAGAAATGCTCCTGCTGCGGATAAACTTCGGAGGAGCTGTCGGGGGAGCTGCACCGCCAGCTGAAACCCGGCATTTCCACCCAATTCCCGTCAGCTTTAGGGGCTCTTAGGGTGGGAACCTGCTTGAGAGACACGGGAGCCTCACCCAAGCTCCGTGCAGGGGGAAGGGGGCTGGGTTGGCAGTTTTGGGGGTGCTGTCTCCAGGAGGAGCGGGAGCGCTGTCCCTGTGAGGGCTTGCTGGGGGGACAGCTCTGTCCTGCTCTGCTGTCGCGCTCGGGTGTGTGGCACTTGGAGGGGACACCTTATGTAAGCAGTGATGGCAGCGCCGTGCCCCGGCCGTGCCACCCCGCTCTGCCACTGCCAGGCCCCGTTCTGAGGGTCCCCTCTGGTGCAGGAGCTGCTGGATCACTGTGGAAGGAGCACAGCCCCCTGTCAGGGCAAACAGCCCCGAGCCCAGGGCTTGGCCTGTGGGTTTTGCAGAGTTCATGGCTGCACCCTTCCCGGCGCTGGCTCTGGCATCCCCAGCCCTGGGGAGAGGCTCAAGCCCCTTTCTGGGCTCTTTTGCACCCCTTGCCTGAAGTCCAGCCCCGTTTGGGTTTGGCAGTGCAGGGCAAGGGCTGGCCCACATGGGTGAGGAGGGAGAAATTGTCCTCTGAGTGTGGGGACACTGGTTGGCAAAGGACCTGTCCCTGTCCCAGATCGTGAGGCTGTCCCTCAATCCCCAAGTGCCCAGTGCATACCTGCCCTGACCCTGGTGTGCCAGAAAAGGAGGAAAGGAGAGGAAAAAATGAGCATTGGGGTCTTGGGAGCCCCTGTGCCCCAGGGAGCAGTGTGGGGACACTGGTTGGCAAAGGACCTGTCCCTGTCCCAGATCGTGAGGCTGTCCCTCAATCCCCAAGTGCCCAGTGCATACCTGCCCTGACCCTGGTGTGCCAGAAAAGGAGGAAAGGAGAGGAAATAAAGAGCTTTAAGGGTCTTGGGAAGCCCCTGCGCCCCAGGGAGCGGAGCTCAGTGGGTGTCTTGTCACTCCAGCTCCACTCCAGCTTCTGAGTTGGGCTGCAAGGGAGAAAGGTGGGAGTGTGGTGGCAGGGAGGGTCCCAGTGCTGCTCTGCACAGCTCTGGGTGACTGTGGGCTTGTCACCTCACTGGGATGTGCCCCTCTGTCACCATGCCTGGCTCGTTCCTAGCTTGTTTCCTGGTTCCAGCTTGGTCCTGCAGTCCCAGCTTGATCCCAGTTCCCAGCTCACTCCCTCGTTCCCAGCTTGCAGTGAGCCAGGACTGCCGGTGGGCGATGGATTTCTTGCAAAGCTCTCTCAGATTCCCCCGTTGGACTTTTGAAGCATCTGGTATCACTACCTCAGCGTCATTATGAATTAATTAACATTAATTTCCTGCTCTGGCATCTCCCATTGCTGGGACCTTTAGCCTGGGCTTTTTTCTCCCCCCCTGACATCCCCAGACAGAAATGGCCAGATCTGGACCATGCCTGACAGAAAGCCAGGGAGAAATCACCAAACTGTGGGGCCGTGGTGTCCCCATCCCTGTCCCCATCCCGCAGCAGGGCAGGGGATGCTGCCGGGATCCGATGGTCTGGTGGCCGGGATGAGGCTGATCCCGGGGGAGCCCCGGTGCTGCCAGCCCTGCCTGTCCCCTGGCCGTGCCCCGGCACGGGGGATGGGTGTTTTGGGGATGGGTGAGCCGGTGATGCCGGCTGTGCCATCCCTCCCCTCCGTTTCCCCGCAGCGATGCAGGGCAGGTGAGGCCGGGGCTGTCCCGCAGGGGAAGGATCTCCCTCCCCTTCAGCTCCGGGAAACCCTGACCGTGGCTCCCCAGCTTGTGCTGGAGGCACAGGGATGTTCCTCTCCGGGATGCTGCTCCAGGGACGCTGATCCCCAGGAGGGTGATGGCAGGGGTGCTGCCACAGGGACGCTGGCCCCAGGAAGGCTGTCCTTAGGGGTGCTGACCCTCCAGACCTGTGAGGATGGGGACACAGAGGCAGCGGGCTGGGATCAGGCTGGATCCTTTGCATCCTGCCCCGTGAGTCACCCCGAGGGAGGCACAGCCCGGGAGTCACAGCCTGGCTCCTTCCCTGAGCTCCCACCTGCACGGCCGAGCCCTGGAGAGCCCAGAGGGACCCAGCGGGATGTGGGGGCAGCCCCATCCCACCCCACCCCTTGCCCCATTCCCCGCCCCACAGCGGCACAACCCTGCCGTCCCCACGCCTGCCACCCCCGTGCCACCCCCGTGTGCCACCCCGTGTGCCCCCTGGCAGGGCCACATCCACCCGAGGGCCACCCCAGCCCCTCCCGCAGCCCTTGCAGCGGGGGCTGAGCTGATGGGGGGTTCCCCCCAAAACTCCCAAGCCCCGTGGCTGGGGCGGGGTGGGGGTGGCAGCCCCCGGGGGGGGGCCGGGGGACAACCCCGGTGTCCTACATCCCCAGAGCTGGTTCGGGCTTACGTAACGGCCGTGCTGCAGTGTGTGCTCTGCTCAGCGCCAGTGCCACCGGCGGAGCTGCAGCGCGAGCCCTTCTCCCTGGATATTTGCTTTTTGGGGACAGCGGGGAGGGAGGGGGACACCTGCGGGGTAGCCGAGCTTCAGGAGAGGCCAGGATCTGCAGGGGGTGGTTGGTAGGGCTGGCTGGAGTGAGGCTGAGGTGTTTGCTCCCAGCTCCTTCTGGCAGTGACCTTGGGGGCCAGAGTTGCCCCCGGGTGCTGCACCCTGTGGAAGGAGGAGCTGGGGATGGGGACAGCAGAGAGAGCCCTGCCCTGGTCCTAAGGCAGAGGTCAGGTTGGAGTTCCTGCTGCACCCCCTGCCACCCACAGTGCTGCCTCTACCCTCTCAGAGAGCGCTGTGCAGGTGGGGAAACTGAGGCAGGAGGCTGTGACATCCTGTGGGAGCAGGTACCAGGGACCCTCTGGGTGGGGAATTACCGCTCCTCAGAGAACCCTGGGCTGGAGATGCCCCAGCTCAGCCCAAGCTCTGTCCCCAGAGCTGCTGTCCCCACTCAGGGCTGGCACAGGGCACAGGGACGTGCTGGCACTCGGAGCAGCCTGGCAGGGAGGTGCAGCTCTGGAGTGTGTGTGACAGGACACGGGCCATGGGGGTACTCCAGGCTGGCTGCAGCACCCTTCGTGTCCCAGCTTGAGCACCCAGGAATCCACGGGGTGCTGGAGATGTGGGGAGAGACCTCCCTGCCAGGCTGT